GATTGTTTTTTTGTTTTTTTTAATACATCTTGAACCCTTATTGTGCCTTTCATTTTGATCTTGCCCCCTTCCGGTTTTTTTAGGAGCGTTATGGCAACCGACAAAGAAAACTGTGAGCGGAGCGATCGAGAATTTTTGTCGATATTTGATGTTTCATGACAAAACGAGCGGTTTTGAGCAGGATGATATTGTATTAATATACTGTTTTGGTGCCCTTTTCCTTTCACCCCGGCGACTTGGACTCCCTAGAGGTTTCCCGGATTGTTTGCGAAACTCCTGGCCCCCGAGGTGCAGGACCCCCTGCCGACGAGGGGCCCCAGTGCAAGCGCCAGGCTGACAGCAAAAGCAGACGAGTGGATCTATAAGCCATGCGGCTGAGATTCGACCGGTGCTATATTCGCCTCTCGTTTCCGGCGCTTGGATTGTACGGAATACAGATTTCTGAATTCAAGGCTTAGAAATATCCATGGCAGATGATTGCACGGTCGGATCATATGTTTGCGACCCAAACTGCTTAGAATGGACGACTAGAACAAATGTACGAAATTCGGTAGTTGCATCATAAAGTGCAGTATCGCTTGCAGCGATGCGTAAGAAATGTTCGGGTACTTCTAATCAAACAAAGGATCGTCAACGACCAGTATTGTAGTAAGAGCGAAAACAACACGTCATAGGGATAAAGTAAGGGCTCGAGTAAGGGTGTTATTGGCAAATAAATAAATAACTTGTAATTTGTAACTTTAGTGGAACCATTGTAAACCAGTATGGATACCGTTTTATATTCATAGGTCCGGGCGGAAGGATCACGAGTTAGTAATGTACTTGTGAAAAGCAACCATGACGTTTCTAGGTGTAATGTGGTTCAACCAAAGTTGACGAGTACCTGTAGTTCAGGGGTCACGGATCACGACAGCACTAGTCAGTGCGAGAGAGACAGACTTATGGGTGACCCAGAATAGTGAGAGAGCGCGAATGACAACAAAGTGGCCCGCGGGCCGCTTAGCCGGGACCCCTGCTGTAGTTACACTCGCTGACTGCGGAATACTTATAGTTTAAGTGTAATTTTGCCCTTGCAGATCAGTTGCAGTTGATCTGCAGAAATGTGTAGTTAAAGTGCACATTTCTGTAGTTAAACTGCACAAAATGTGTAGATAATCTATGAAGATTTGGGACGGGCGGCTTTCGAACTATAGTTTGACTGCCGTCACCACTGCAATGAGTGACCTAAGCTAATACAATGATATCCGATAATCTAATCTAATGTTTCATCTACAGTTAAAATGCAGTAAACAAATTTCTTGCCAAAAGGATTTTTTCCCTTTCTCTCTTCTTTATTCGTGCCTATCTCTGTTCGTAATCGTAATTGCCTGCTATTTTACCTTGACTTACCTTACCGAATGACGATCTCGGAACTGAAGCTGACGGGAGTTGAACCTTTGACCTCGCCGCTGGGAGTCCGTTATGCTGACCACCAACCTACTGCGACACCTTAGCTCTCGTGGCGCAGTAGCTTGATGTCGTGCGAAAGGGCCCCGGCCCGTCGGTCTCTCTAGTCAAACTACACTGAAAATTACTCTACGTAACAAAATACAAAATATGTACGTAACACCATTTTACGTTCAAGTGACAATATAACTGCTGTTACACAAACCTCTTTGCGTAACAAATGTTACTGAAAATACTTTGCGTAACAAAGTTTATACCAACTGCTATACGTAACAAAAGTTACGCTATCCATTATAAGAATTAAGCCTCAATACCTTCACAAATGTTACAGAATCTACTTTGCGAATATCCAGTTAATGTAACAAATGTTATTAATACCATTGACA